GGACATTCCGAAATTCATTCCGGATGAAATTAAAATGGTAGATTTCAACCCAAGATGGCTTCCACAAATCCAAGATGGCGGAATATGCATCTTAAAAAGTGGTGCTCAGGCCCATTTTTTCAATAGCTGTATCTTTGGTCATATTTTAAGTTGTATTTTGCGTATTTCCCAAACATTTCGGCCATACATTCGATATGCAAAAAGAAATGCAAGCTGAAGTTGTTGCATCGTAGAGATCCAAGCGCTACGTGCGGCCTGTGTGCCGCACTTTGGTTATCACTGATCTTAACCCTATGCAATATGGGTATCTACGGAATGGGCTTGATGAGTAGAAGCGGAAAATCAACATCCACCGCCATTTTGGAATTCTAGATGGCGGACCAAAATCCAATATGGCGGCCTCTAAACAGCGTATATGCATTTAAACCCATGCAATATGGGTATCTACGGAATGGGCTCGAGCCATTCTTAAGGTGAAAATGTAACATGTGATAAATAGATTTCCTGAAAACACGTGAGTAATTTTACTTTTTCATATTGCATGAGTTTAGATGTATATACGCTGTCCGGAGGCCACCGTATTGGATTTTGGTCCACCATTGGATTACAAAATGGCTGCGGATATCGGTTTCTCACTTTGACTGTAATAGGGTATATGTCCCTAACCTCGGTCTAATATGAAGGCTTCAATAACATTTTATGCCGTATCTTATGTAATGATTGAGCTGCCGTCGATATTTCACTGTGAACATGTAGACTAAAATATTCTTATTTGGATATTGATTAGGAACGACTGAAATTTGTTTAATCTCACCATTTTAACATGAAAACATTCCAGGTACGTGGATGTAATGTCGATCTATTGCACTCAAATTGGGTCTATAAATGGATGCAACTTCGTCCTATCGAAGATGCCCCTCGATCTACAGAGGATTGGCATGTGCAATCGCACTTCTTTTTCACTCCTTGTCATTCATACGTAACCACATGGTTGACGTCACTTTCACTTCTCGCGTAAGAACTGATGAGGATGAAAGAGATAGTGTTTTCTAAAGAGCCTGAATTTATAAAGAGGCGACATCTTATCTCCCTTATCTCTTATCCATTTGACAGGTCTTCTGCTCGATTGGAATAACTTTTCCTATGACTTTGACGGATAGTCGATTCCAATTTTGACATGTTGTCTCTTTATAAATTCAGGCTCATTAGTGTTTTCCATTGATCCAGATAATATAAATCATCTCACGACAACACATATAACGAACAGTCAACTCAAGTGATAGCAAGCCGAACAATGCATTAGCTCCTAAGTAACATTGACATTTTTTTTTCTTTTCTTTATTAAAGAGATTTTTAGCCTTAGGCTAGAGTAACATTGACAGATTCTCTTAGTAGATTTTCTCTTTGCATCCCCACGGCCATTAATAGACACTTTCAGCTATTTTCAACACATAGTTCGATAAAAGAAGTTATTATATAGCATTTAATACGGCAAACACGGCAAGAAACGGATTTGTAGCCAACACGCTTAGAAAATAATACCAAACTCGGTTTAATTTTCTACCGAACCTCATCGGTTACCAACGGGAAACCGAATAAAGCGTTTAAAAACATTTTTTTCAGGCGTATTTATCGAATCAGCTCCGAATTTCGGTAAAATAATATAAATTTGACCGATAGAAATCAAGACTGAAGCGAAAAGTACGGTAAAGTATCGACATTTACGAATTAGGTACGTGAAAACTGAGAAACTCGGTAAACTGAACCGAATATTCGCTAAAACGTTAAACGTCAAACGTTCTACTTGCGCTCAACTTCACGACGAAATTTTTAACCGGAAAGTCGGTTCTCGAAACTGAGTCTTAAACTAGCCATCCATTTTTTCTCGAGTTTGCTCGTTTTGATTGTACTTTTCCACGCTGTAACTTGCGTTACGGAAGTTTTTATCGCTGAAACGGCATATTGTGGAAAACCATCCGGGAAACTCTCGAAGTTCTACCGTGGAAGAAATTTTTGATGATTGTCCCGTGGCAGAACAAGCAACATATGCTGATATACAGAACCGTCCTCAACTCGAATCAAGTATAGATTTGAAAGAGTTAATGAAAATAATAAATATTAGCATCTGCCGCATTACATATGATGTAGGTTTACCTTACACAAAAATCAATGATTTTATTGAGCTTTCTGACGAAATAGTCCGGCATGTATCAGGGTACCTTGAGGCAGAAACTGTGAATTTTCGTCCCAAAACAAATTATATAAATATATTTCATACATTTCTTTTACAAAACTGGTTTTATTTTTATGAAAATTCGAAGCAACGTATCCTTAATCCAAATTTAAAGCAGGATTTGAAGTAAAAACCGAGTGCTACCCAAGAGAACCGAATTCCGTAATTAGAACAGATGGGTCGGTTCGTTTGACAGCGTTGGGTAATTCTTGAGTAAACCGAGGTTCGGTTATTTGTGCTTAAATTTATTTTTCGTCAACCGAGATTTTCGGTAACTTTGACAGATTGTGGGTAGCAAAAAGAACTAACGACAGCTAAGTTATTCCTCTTTGAATCGAACAGACTACCGAGCGTTCAGCAGATAAAAACTAGGTTGACCTCAAACCGAGTTCGGTAATATTTTCTAAGTGTGAAGTTATTAACGAAAGAAAAAGTACACGAGGAGAATCGATCAATGTTACTTAGGACCTAATGCATTGTTCGGCTTGATAGTTTTTCGAAGGGCCTATACGATAAATTAATATGACTCATATTTGAATCCCAATCACTCAAATTCGCAAAAACGTAAGTCACTCTTAGAATGAGTAAATGTTTACTCAAATATGATTAAATGTCACTCATATATGATATCAAATATGAGTGACATTTATTCATATCTGATAAAAATTTACTCATTCTACGAGTGATCTACGCTTTTGCAAGTTTGATTAAATGTCACTCAAATATGAGTCAGTCTCATTTGCCGTGAAGTTTGTTTTGACGGGAGGATTGACTGCACGCTATTTCTAAACGACCCAAATTTGAGTACGATCTACTCATATCCGTCGAAAGTAGGGTTACCGAAAAATGAGCAAACAAAGTTGCAACTGACATGATGACAAATGAACAACATCGTTTGGATTCGGGTCAATGTTTTCCATTCGTCATCTTGTTAGTCTAAACTTTGTTTACTCAATTTGGTGAACCCCAACAAACATTGAATGTTGAATAACAGCTTATTCAGGCAAACACAAGCTTCTTCAGCTAAAAAATAGCTTATTGAGCTGTTGACCAACTCAAATTATTTATTGGGACCTTACTTTTGACCAATATGAGTAGATTTTTCTCAAATTTGGGTTGTTTATAAATAGTGTGTGTACCGTGTTGACCCCTCCTTTCACGCAAAGATTAACATTTTGCGTACGGGATTTTTCAGTGTAGTGAAAGGATAAGAAAAGATCCGCTATGTTTCCCGAAATTGAACATTTGGCAGGCAACATTGGTGGCGCGTAGAATAGAGCACAAAAATCATGACTACTATGTCACAGGTTCAATTTACTTTGATGCTTTTTGGAAAATTTCAAAAGCAGTTTTTTCCGACGCATTATTTCAGATAGCAAAAAGCTCGCACTATTCGATTCCTTTTGATATTTTACACAAAATGACGCGAGCTTTTTGCAATCTAAAATAATGCGTCGAAAAAAATTGCTTTTGAATTTTTAAAAAATGCATCAAAGTAAATTGAACCTTAATTGATGTTTGGCTGAAAAACGATCTTATGCAAAGTTGTAGCTTTGAAAATTTACAGTTAAATGTGGAAAAAGGCTACGAGACAGTGAACATAAAGTTTGGTTTTTCCATAGTAATTTCCATATATAGTTCAAATGATTTGTGCCAAGTCAGTTTCTTTCCAAATGAGTTTAAATTTTGGAAGGCTAAAAACCCGATTTGGAACCGTTTGGGCACTTTGCAGCGAAAATTTCAAATTTTGCATCAGTCTAATGAGTAATTTCCATTTAATTCCACTACCTTATTTGCTTATCCTTGACGGATACGCGTATTCCGTCTACAATGTGCGGACTTCTTCAGTGTCTTGTACTAATACTCGACTTTAGTACAAGACACTGAAGAAGTCTTTGAATTAAAAAAAAAAATCTTTATCATGCTCAGTAAGACATTACTTTTCTCTACAACTTTGTCTCAGACGTCATTTCAATCAGAACTGCCTTTTCCGTGCTATATTTTTTTGTAAAATTTAAAGAATGCCTGGAACTGCTCAAATGTTTTTTTTTTCATCACTAGGAACGGAACAATATTTTTTCACCTCGGGAGTGCTTAGTGCAAATTGGCTTTCAAAAAATCCTTAATAACTTTGAAAATGTAAATACCCGTCTTCAATGGAGAATGTGAATCATAAAGCACTTCATATAAAATCAAACTGTTTGTATCTGATGAGCGCAACAAATTGTTATTTCTAAAGAGCGCAGAACATTTTGTAGGTGGATCATTTTTCAAACATTTGTTTATGATATATTGAATCAATGTTATGTTAAGTATGTTTGCAGCGGAATTTTTATCATGGATGGGCGTCCAACAATTCCCTTATGAATTTTGGTGCACAGCTTTCATAAGAGAAGCACTGTTATATCAATTTGTCAGCGCCCAGTTAATTTGATTAATAAAACCAAATCGGTTTTTGAAGCTGGTTACTCATGGAGTAGTGATTATGGCCTAAAATTAAATTCTTGTACAGATTCAGAGACCACGTAGGCATGAAATCTAAGTCAATGAATCAACAAAAATACCACCACTGGCTACACCACTGTCATCCATCTTATTTCGTTATCCCAACAATATCATAATGAACTCCAGTAGTGACAAGGTCCCACACAGTTCATTCGACTTACACGCGTGATTCATGTCTCGTGGCAATTATGGTGTCATTATTTCTTATCTCCCTCCCGTTCACTTTTCCCCAGATTCATACACTCAGCACAAATGTACTTACTCTCGATTTCTTGGACTTGCTCGTTTTGGACGATTTCTTCTTGCGTTGGGGGATCTTGCCGGCAAACTCCTGCAGCTGTTCACGACCGGCCATATAGTCCAGATGCGGTGGAATAAAGTTCGCTGGCAATGGGCCCATTGTTCCTGCTGCCACAGTGTTGCTACTATTGCTACCGGTACCGCTGCTGCCGCCAACACCGTCGCAACGGTGGAGGTGATGCAGGTGCAGGTGCGACGCTGATAAACCTAAACAGTGGGGACTGCATCCGGTGGCACCACTGCTTTCCGATACCGACGACTGCTGAGACGAATCCGATTCACTCGATTCGTCTCCATCGCCCTCGCCGTTCCAGTTGCCGGGGGTGGTTGTGGTGCTTGCGTTGCTGGTGGTGGGAGTGCTGGGCATCTGGAAGCTCGACGGGAATTGGTGACTGTGGGTAGAAGAATAGTGTTTAGTTTTCTCTCACAATCCATAGAATGGAATTTCTCAAACTTACAAAATCGGCGTCGCCGATGAGCAGGACGGCGTATCCGGGCTGTTGGCACTGTGCTGGCTGCTGTGACTGCTGCTACCGCTGGGGCTCGGAGTTGGCAGTCCAAAGAACACTGCACCCCGACTCCCGACGCCTGCCCCACCCGGTCGATACACTCCGTTGGGGGTCTGCGGGAAGAACACCTGGCCTCCGCCACCACCGGCACCATTGTAGTACCCGGTGGTAAACGGACTGCAGGAAGAACTTTGCGGCGACTGCGAGATCGGCGTCGAGGGGGTATCTGGAAGTAAGCAAGCACAGAAATGCAGAACAAAAGGTTAAAAGTTGGCTCGTCAATATGAGTCAGGAAGGTGGAATGTTAACGCTTTGTTAACGAGCGCAACATTCCTCAGTGCCCCTAACGAGCTCTCCATGTAGAACCTGTGTTTTGGCTGCATAAGGAAATAGGTGACATTCTATGGAAGAAATTCCACTGGGAATTCATTCGGGATGAATAATTTACACCGAGCACAAATGCTAAATTCCAAAAGAACCTCAACCCTTCAAATCATGATATGTCATGTTCACATTGTTTCCCCTCACCGCTACGCCGGTTGCTTGTAATCAGTCTTGTAAAACAATCACCAGAGGTGCAGGGGTAGTCACAGAAAATCAATTTATCTCATTTTCAGTTCCAGTTCCAGCGACGACGACGACGACGACTCCTTCGAAGCGCAAATGAGCCTCATGTCCTCGTCCTAGCTCACGTTCCTAGCAACGAATGAGAGTGTCAGTCTAATCATAGGGCTGGTGGTTCTGTGGGTTTTTATTTGCATCGCCGCCGTTCGCTTGCGCTACTAATTACCATGTGCATTTGCACCTTAGCATCTCCATGTGCTCTGGGTGAGCATGACTTGATGGAGGTGCATGGCCGCCAGTTCTGTTTGATGAGCATGAATTACTAATCCTGCACTCCGGTGTAATCATTCAACAGTTGTACGGAGGTCTTGATTACAGAGAGCAGAGATCGGCGTCAGTAATTTGCTAAAACAAATATCCTTGACGCTATAGCCAATGCCTCCCCGGAGAGGTGTGAATCCTTTGGGTTGGTCCCCAACTCATTAGCGGTCATTCTTTGATGATTTCCGCCTAGGAATGACTAATCCGAACTCTGAAGAACAATAACACATTGTCGCTACGGTCGGCGCATGCAGTGCATTGGTGGATATTGATCCCGGATTGTCCTTATTGGGGGTCGATAGTCAGTTTCATAACAGAAAGCACAAAGCGGTTCCGCTAAACTACTGGACATGCAATTAAAATTCTCATCTGTCAATCGGCCGTGGAATAATGAATTACACAGAGCGGGATCTACACGTAATCAGCCATCAATCCAGATCTCGATGCTCCGTTGTGGTTTGCCATGTGGTTTATTACTAATGATATTGTCGATGTGAGATAAAAGGATCTCCTCGGAGTCTGTATATGCTATGTTTGTTGTAGTTGTAAATAAATAACTAGCTTTGATATAATTATGGGAGATGCATCACGAAGCGCGAAAAAGCAACGACAAATGCACTGAGGCATTGTGTGAACAGCATCGCATTGCTTGACGAGGAAGAACCGGCATAGGGGCAGGGGTGTGGTGACGTATCAGTAAATGACGATTTGTATTACTTCATCGCTGTGGCATTCTTTGTTGGGGATGGTCAGTTTTAGTTTAGCTTGCCAGTTGATTCATTCTAAATGAGTCAAAGGGCAGATTTCAGATGATTTTAAAAGTTTCATTTTCATTTTGCAGCGTTTGGTGGGGCAATGGGAGCGTAAGTCTATCCAAAGCCGAGGATAAAGGAAGAGTAATGGCTGAATAGTCTATGCGAACCACTTGAATGCCATGGGAAAAGGAAGGGATTGAAGAGGTCGGTTATTGGGTGGTTTTGAGGAAATGACACATAGTACTAGATTTGTGTTGCAAAATGTAAAGAAACCGAAAATCCATCTCCCACTGATTCATCCTTTCACATATATACCAAATTGTTATTTTAAAGCAACCATCAAAATAAACAGACAATATATAAAAAGGCTAGTTGCCTCCCTAAGCGGACCCCCGCATCCTAACTCTTTTGTTAATCTACTTAATGTTATTAGGCAGTCCAAATTTTCTTATTTAAGTTCGTTTGATGATAATGATATCTCATTAGTCTAATTTAATAAATAATTGAAATATCTAATTAAATCTAATCAAACATAACTTTATTAAGTACCTAAGCTGCTATGTAATCTAAAATTTAACGTGTTTCAAGTAATTTTGACTTTCATCTATATTTATTAAATCTTAGATCGACCCAGGTGACACCTTCAAGTGACTAAAATGCTTCACTTTGAAATTAGTTTCCTAGCTGATTTTTAAATTATATAGGGGCTCCAACTACACTCACACGTTTCCACTATGTCGTCCCACAAAATTACGTATGGATATGTCACAATAAAAGCACACCACAGTGGAAATCCCGAGCTATAGTTCAAACACTTATCCCAAACCAAAATCAAGCATATATAAGATTAGTTACAATACCATGTACAAAAATGATGTTTAACATTGTTTCCTGAGTAATACTTCAATGAAAACAAAAATGAAAGCTTGTCACGCAAATAGAAGGAGCACCGTTGGGCACTTTCTGAAATATTTCGATAGTATAATTCCCTTGCAAACCCAAATAAATCTATCTGCGTAAAAATAAATAAAATAAGAGTGATTTGCGGCAAAACCCGCCAGTATCGCACCCAACGTCAGTGCCTATACGTAAGCGTACTTCAAAGCGGCTTTCAAATAAAGGAGTAACAAGTGTGATACTATCACTTCAGGCTAGAACTTTGGTTTTCTTATGCAATGGTTCATCAGAGAGGGGAAGCTCAGTAATCCTCATCGCATGCTCATGACGCTATTCTGTCACGGCATGAGCCAACGATGCCGGACCTAAACCAACCGTCTCCAAAACTTCACTATGAAGCATAAGATTAGGCCCGCCCACCAACGTCCAGGTTAAAAACTAGCCAAGGGGAGGGATTTCAGATGATTTTACAAGTTGAAACATTAGAAAATGTAAATAATTGTTATGAAATTTCAAAACAGATTAACTTTTCTTATGAGATTGTATACCATGTCAAGACAATCAGACATAGTCTGATAAAAGCTTTGATGTGTATCAAAATTTTTATATTTGATTTGCAGACGAATGCGTCTGATTGATGTGCAAAGATCGAGATTCGAAATTATATTTTAAATTCCATAATATCACAGCCGGAAGTGCATAGTGCTAAAAATGGATAGTATTGGTTCAATTTTAGCTACACGTCTCCAATTTTGCTTATACATAATATCCACTTGACAACTTAAAACACTGTTTCATATTTACTCCTAGACTTTCCATATAAGTTTGAAGCTTGGGATATTATCAGATAATCAGGATTGCTGAAGACGGGCCCGCCCAGTGGGGCAACGCCATACAAAAACCGGACGTGATAACATTAGTAGTCTTATAAATCAAAAGTCTTACAGGCTTATCACAAAGTCCTTATTATTGAACTTACGCTTCACCTCAAACAAATATTTGGATAACTTTCCCTAGTGTACTGGCCTTCGTATGAGACAACTACAGAAAGCTTAAAGTTAGCTCTGCAGGCCTTAAGAGTTAACTTGAGAGATCTTATGAGTTAAATCATCCTCCTGTCACGTTTTTCCTATACTTAATACATTGCTTGTCAAAGATTCAAAAGACCCTCTCCCCTCTAGAGCGTTACGTACTCAATTGATGCCTCCTTAAAGCTCTGCCAATTTAGAATCGGTACGCTTTTTTTTGTCGGGAACAGCGCTTCTAGTGGTTGGTTCTGGAATATTTTGACAGAAATTTGTTTACAATGTCTTTTTCTTGAAATCCCGTGAATTTTTTTTTTTTAAAATGGATGTTTTCTTGACTTGTCACACGATGGATGAAAAAACAAGTAAGAGGTTGTATCCAACATACGATCGTAGATTTGACGTAGGATTACGTGCTCGGTATAAATATTCGGCGACTGTGTTAGGGAAACCACTTTTCAATCATATCAATTGATTTTTTTTTTTGCTTTTTCTAGCGCCCTGGAGACAACCTTACCTTAATTCGAAGACTTTCTTCTTTCCTTTATTTAACGTCGGTCTCTGTTCCGCAATCTAGTGCCAATCACCGACGGACATCGATTGCCATCCATTGACGGCAATCGAATGTGCAGGAAGGCACAGCTTCCACACCTGCGTAGGATATCGCACCCATTCAACAACACACATGGGCCGGGACCAACGGGTTTACTTACCTTCCGAAGCAAGACATGACCAGAGATTTGTATGCCTCAGAAAAATCCCACCAGTCTCGGCTGGGATGGAACCCAGACCCATTGGGGTGAGAAAGCAATTACGCTTACCACTACACCACCGGTGACGGTGGACGGTCATTTCGAAGTGTTTCTGGTTAATTGACAAGGTCATTGCGAGAATTTTTATGTACCACTTCAATACTGTTTCGCATTTGGCCACAAACGTTTGGTTGCTTGGTACATTATCAAAGAAATTTGGGGTTGATGTGGCTGGCAGCAAGGCGGGCGAACATGTCGTGCTTGGCATAGATTGCCCACAGCGAGCAACTGAATCTGTTCAGTAGCGGTGCGGCTTCTTCCTCCTTTTTCGGTGAATCGAGGGCTCTTGTGGGCAGCCTTGATAGCTAGCTGCTTGCGGGGAGCCTTTCGTTGTGTACTGGACAAAAATGTACAACGCCACGTGCAGAAAGCACTGCTGCTGCTGCTGCTCCTGATGACGACCCGACATCACATCTCACCATTGAATTAACACCGTTCGGTGAGATAGGATGGAATCCAATTTTGAAATCTGTGTTGGGGAAAACGCTTTTCGCAGGTAATCGGTGATAATTCTAATTATCATAGCAACAGTTGCACATTCGTGCAATTTTCAATAGTGACATTTTGAAAATTCAATAAACTTTTAATTTTACCTGGATCTAAACCAGACCACTTTCATGCCGCAACCGACCATGGTTTTTGAAATTTCACCCTCTATGTTGCCTTAAAAATACATGGTATGCAAGGGGTAAGTCACTTAGCACATTGGGCCGAAATTAGATTCGGCACAGCTTAGTCACATCCATCGGTACACAGTTTACTTATAAATCTAAATACGAAATGTAGGTTCTAGAGTGGGCTCAAGCGAAAGAGGTAGTTATTCAGATCCCATTAGCACACAGCAAAAAAATA